AAATATTTGTGATATTCAAATGCATGGTCGGTAATATAGCCGTTTCTTTTCCACACGGTCCGTACCTGCTACTTTTCTAATAGCGCATTCAGAATTGCGCGTAGATTCAAAGTTATAAGGTCTATATTCTTCCGCATATAGCAATAAATCGTAAAATTTTACGACCTTGCATTTCGAACTGCCATAACTCTTTGACGCATGCGTTTTAATTAAGACTTTATGCGGTATTCATTAACGGTAATTTTTCAATATTTAAATAATGCCTCATATAGTTTTTGACTACATGATCATCTTACGGAGCTCCGTGAATCGTCCAATGCACCTTTTGAACAGGTTTCGGGCACGAATTTGGTCGTGTTGGTGCATCTAGTATTTAATGTCGTTGAACGTAGCATATTTAATAGATACGTCAATTAGTTTCGGCTGCACACAGAGATGTCAAACAAATTCTATGCAATTAAGAGCAGCTTTTTGACTTATTCTATTGTGACAGATCTGATATTATCAAACTTAACATTTAATTGACGTCTCTGAGAGCTGCTGTTTATCTCTTTCATCTTCTGCTGCTGTTGCCTGACAAATATGATATCACTAAAATAACAAGAATCATTTTAATTACATTTATTGTACAATATTGATATGATAATACACTAAATCAGTTCGGTTATTTTGAAATAAATCTATTGTATGGTTACATATCAGTCCAATTAATTTAAAACTGTCTGACAATTATTGAATGGTCTTTTATGGAAGTCATCCATTACACCACCACTAGTGTTACAGAAAAGTGTGTACTATGCTTTGGACATGGCTTGAATAAGCTGACTGTATATGTACAGGTGTACATACACAGCCAGCAGCAGTGCTGTTTTGTATGAAAACAGTATATCAAGATCGTAGTCTCAGAACTAAGAGCGATCTATGAATACGGGCCTGTGTCTCTATCATTTAAATAAATAACTTTGCAACTATGTATCAATACTGATATGGCACATAAGCCATTTAGTGCTTTATCAATATATTTAAATCCCTTTGTTATAATTAGATGAAAGATGTACCTTTAATGAAAATCTGCTGTATTTTCGATACACAATGATGTCGATTCTGGCATGATTCTCTAAAGCTAAACTTAAATTTGACAACAGTGCATCCTTTTCATTCTCTTTACAGAATAAGGAGAGACTGATGTCAAATTTAGTTTTAAGTTTAGAGAATCATGCCAGAATCGACAGCAGTATCCCATTTAATCACCTGCACCTTGTTTTTTGCATCCTGTGTATGAGCTAGCTCTAAGTGCGTAGTATGAAATCCAAAATATCCGACCGAAATGTTTTGACCAGTACCAAATTATAACATCATATTTGGTGCAGCTAAGTAATCGCTACTCATTAAAATATCACAGAGATCTGTCTTATGCCGTCACTTCAGTTGGTTATTTGTATTTGCTATTTGTAAACTTGACAACAGTCTGTCCTTAACATGCTTTATAAGGAGTGAAAAGGACAAACTGATATTGGTGTCGATTCTGGCATGATTCTCTAAAGCTAAACTTAAATTTGACAACAGTACATCCTTGTCCTTCTCTATACAGAATGAAAAGGTGAGACTTACCTTAAATTAAGTTTTAAGTTTAGAGAATCACGCCAGAATTGACACCATTGTTACCTATTTGACATTATGTGATGGAAGTTTTCAATTTGACGACACTGTATGAAATAAAACAGGGAGAAAAAAGCAGCCCTTGCTGAGTTTCTTGTTGGTTCTTCTACTGAGAGTACCTTGTACTGACAAGGTCTCCCGCCGTAGTTTTGCGAACCGGTGGCGTAGTTTTCGACTTTCACATGTGCTTGTAAAAGTCTAAACTGAATAAATGATATTTGAATTGAATTTGAATTGAATTGATGTCAAGTTTACAAATAGCAAAAACGAATATCCAAGTGAAGTGACGCTATTAAAGGAATTATAAAAAATATAGGCAAGCTCAAAATTGCTGATTGCGTGCAAGCACATGCAGAGTGTAATGGACAATGAGTTAGTTTCGTAAACTGCACAAATTTTATCGACACAACACAACAACACTTTACTCGATGATAATCTATGCTGTTTAATCTACTTTAAGTTTTATCTTAGACTTACACACTCAATATTTGCCTCGCAATAAACACTAAGTACCGAAATAAACGTCTTTTTTGAAGTTGATTTTTTTAGTTTTAATTGGAATCAAATTTGAACTAAAATGTATGTTTCTCATACAGTAATTTGATATCTTTGATAAAAAGTTAAAATAATTGATCACAAGTTTAATTTCAAATAATTTAAACGATCCATTGATTACTAATCTCTAAATAACGATATAAAACTACGTAAAATTTATGATGTCAATCATATAGAATACTACATAGTGATGTGGAGTAACAAAACTTGTATCTTAAAACAATAAGTGAGGCCGCACACCGGAGCCACATGGTTCATGCACGCAACATTTTCCTTGCTACAATATTTTACGCTACATTTTTACTTTGTTCTCGCTGCTAAATGCACCCGCAACAAATATGTCTTTAGTGTGCGTGCTTAGTCTGTTCCGAACGAATTTAGACCAAAGGTAAACAAACACTTTACTATGCGATTCAATTAAGAATAGGAAAGCCAATGACCTCCATCTATAAAATGTCGCTTGAAATGTACGGTTTGCAAAATAATCTTAAAACACTTTTTTAGCACTGAGCTAATCTTTGATTAAACATTTGTAAACAAAAGAAGGAAATAAATCATGTTAACGTAAAGGTACTGGAAAAGGGGAATATAAGAACTTTAGTTTTATTATCAATACATACCTGTATTTATAATAAAAATACCGTTTTTATTTTAAATAAAGTTGTCGTTTTAAAACCTACAATAATCGATATTTTATTTTATAGCCAAAAGCAGCAGTGATGATGATGACTACTCCGATAGTAGTGCAGCGATGACCGATATTAAAGAGCTAGATTCCGATTAATGTTTTTTCTCAGTCTGCCTTAATAAATAAATATTATTAAATAACATGTTTTTTTATTTCTCTCAGTATTAGTAAAAAAATGTTATATAAAAGCTGATATTTTTTTTTTCTCACTTAATCTTGGTAAATAAGTTTTATTAAAGAAAAACTTTTTTGCTCACTACCTAACCGGGTTGCAATCACAATATGGCGCCCAGTCAATCCTATTCTTAGTTGAATCGCACTGTACCACTCAATTCTCACGCAATGAATCACTACATGGATTTCTCAACACATTAGTTGGCATGCCTAGGGGTTTGACATATTAATTCACTATGTATTACCGCACTGATTTCTTTATTAATTTATGAAAAAACAGAAATAAAACTGAGACGAAAAACTAAGGTTATTTTGGCAGACGGGAATTGTCTTTTGTCTATGGTTGAACAGCGTTGCACCGAAAAGACTATTAAAAATGATTTCAATAGTGAATTGATTAAATAAATACACTGGACTGGAAATAAACTGGGCCACTTGCTACCACGGAACACTGATTTGATTTTCTCAAAAAGTATAAAAATTACAACTATCAAAATTATAACTATAGAAAGTGCGTTTCGTGGTGATTAAAATGAACTAGAATTTATTGAGATTAATCAATTAAATTATTTTTTATTAAAAAAAAACAAGGTAGACTCGTTTTCTAATTGTGCTATTCGGAAGTAATGAACAAAGCAAAAATACTCATGTCTGAGAAATTTATGGAGAAAAATTAAGGAAATGATAAGAAGTATCAGACTATCTTCATTTTATAAAAAAGAACGATAATCGCAACTTTATTAAAAAAATTGCAAACTGTTAGCATTGCTGTTCTTGCTCAATTACAAAGTTGACAGTACTTTAGAAAAAAAAATACTCGTAATAATAATTATGAAACACACTTTGAGTTCCAAGGAACTAGCGGTTGGCCCAGTTTATTTGCAGTCAAGTGTAGTTATGGGCTAAATAATCATCTCATTTTTATCAGTAATCCAACATAAGCAAAATTTTTTTATTTCATAACTTAGGTTAATTTTTTTATATAATAATAAATACAATTATTCACAGTTGTATAATAAACTTAAAAGTTGACTACTGTTGAACGAAGTAACTTATTAAATCGAATCGAATGAAGTAACTTATAAAATAGTGTCGCGTTTCAAATATGTCGCCACACTTATCGTAATACAATTGTATGTCTGGTGTACGGCCAGCCTAAGGGAATCCCAATCAATAGAGTTCAATGTCTAAAGCTCGCTATCAGTTTTGTATCCGAATTAACATGTATAAGTTAATTAATAAGGTTAAAAAATTATCTGTTTTCACCAGCAGAGGCACTGCTGCTGAGTTTTCATAAATTATGATTTAAAGGTTTTAATTACTAAAGAACTTTACGGAATGCTAAAAAAACATTATTACTAGCCACAGCTTAAGTATCAGCCCTGGGATTTCTTCCCGGCTTTTACAAGTGATGTCAGATGTGATTGTGTCTTCCAATGCATTTAATTTCAATCAAGTGAGTGCTTTTTGGCCATTTCAAAGTATCAGTTTTCAATATTTTAACCTATTTTTATTGAATATTGTTCAGCATTTTAAAATCTGTTATCTAGTAGTACATAGTTTATAAAAATAATATAAAAAACATGGATGAAAAAGATATTTCTTGAAGAAGAGTATGATAATGCAAAGTTAAATTAAAACATGTCTTCCATTCATCAATAATTTAGACAATGATTTGATTTTTCTTTCTATGTTATAATTACTATAAATTGCAATTTCTACAACTGCATTTATTTCCTATGAACCTACTGAATAAATTACACCTGCGCCAGGCGAAACTGATTAAAAACATAATTATTCTGCATTAATAAATTATGAACAATAATGTCATCCAATTGAAAACCTACTTATGCTTACATTTATAAAAGTCTACAAATAAAACCATTTGTAGAGTAAAAAAATAAGAGGAAAAATGTTTTTCCAACTTGTCTGTGTCGTTATCATTAAGAAATTATAATTTGAACTATAATGAGAATTTGTTCTAGTTGGTACTTGGGCTATCTGTGCCGCTTCCACTGTTCTCTGTATTTGCCAGTATGGTCTTTGTGTTCTTATTGTTCTTTTTGGCTGATTTGCTCAGTGTCGCCACTTCCTTCAATAGATTCTGTATCTTGGTATTCATAAGGTTGAATTTGGTCTCGTTCAAACGATCCTTGTTCTTCATTTCGGTCCTTAGGTCCGTAGTATTGTTGTGGTGTTGAGCCTTCAATTCTGTTATCTGTAAAAGAATTTTAAATATTATTATCATCTGAGTGTCATGAATTCATTCATTTTTCAAAATTTGTTATAAAATGATGATTATGGGAAACCATAAACATACCAGTTTGTCTTTGGCGAGCAATTCATTGTCTTTTTGTGCTACTTTCTTCTGTAGGCTAGCAATGGTTTCCTTTAGTTGTGTCATTGCCACCACATGGTCAGAGCTATTTGGATCTAATTCACCTATTTATAACAATAATAATTTTTATTCATAGCAAAATACATATAAAGTACAAAGTTTACAGCTGTTAAAGTTATGAGACCAAGGGCGGATCCAGGGGGGGGGTCATGGGGGTCATGACTCATGACCCCCCCCTGGGCTGGGTACAGATGGACCAAACCCAGGGGGATTTTATTTAAGTACTTTCAATATTTAATATACCACGACTATATGACCCCCCCCCCCTGGCGAAAAGCTGGCTATATGACCCCCCCTGGCGCCAAAGCTGGATCCGCCCTTGTATGAGACATGAGTACTGGAATTTTTAAATTTTTTACATAAGGCAAATTACCAATATTTACCTTGTAAGGGATTAAGCTTTGATTTTTTCTCCAACGGTTGAGAATCATTGAGCGATGCATCACTCGAGTTCATTGATTTCATCATATCTGATTTTCGTTTATCCTTGTGACTGGTTTTAGATCTATAAAAAATATGTAAAAATTTTGAAGTCTGATTTTGTTCAGTTTTTCACTAGGAAATTTATCCAGCTGAATAATGGCATTATAATTGTTATGGCTGTATGAAATTCAGCTTATTTCTATTCAGATCACACCTAATACACACGACCGACGTCAGTAAAATCGCACCTCTTAGAAAATCACTTTCAATGTCATTAACTATGCACATGTAGTCACCTATTAATAAAGATTTTATTTAAAAGGTTACTTAATTTACTTTATAAAAAACATTACTTTTCATTATCAAATAAAACCTACTGCAACAAATAGTGTCACAAAAATTCGATGCAAATTTCGCTACCGTGAGAGTCGTAATGGGCTCCCTTGTGCGGGTAAAACGGTCCACACGGGGTCAATGTGGGTCATTCGCTTTTCAACCGTTGATGAGGGCACACGCACAGATTTTACTGAAGAAAAATCACCTTGAAGATGGATACCACGGCTGATGAAGCCGCTTAAGTGGTTGCACTACTGCAATCAGGGATGCGGCAGTGTAATGATGCCCGGCAACTGAACCTGAGCAGTTTTTCCGTTCGAAGAGTATACCAGCGCTTCATAGAGACAGGTGGAATAAGGGGGCGGATGTTCTGGGGCGCTATGTCAGCTGCCGGCAAAACCGACCTTGTCTGCGTCTCCCGGACTGTCCCCTTTGCGCAATCTTTTGGGGAGGGGTTCACATTAATGCACGACAACGCCCTCACACTGCATCTATCGTGAGTGACTTCTTATAGAGGTTCCAAATCTCTGTGATGCAGTGGCCAGCGAGAAGTGGCCGCACCTGAATCGGATAGAGCACCTTTGGGATCATCTTAAACGCAGGGTTCAATCTTGGGATCCAGCTCCTTCGACTCTACAGGAGCTCCAAGACGCAGTGATTGAAGAAAGGGGGCTTATCCCTCAAGAACTCCTGAACTTGGTCAGGTCCATGAGGGATCGTATGGAAGCTGTCATCAGGGCTAGGGGTACCCCCCCCTAGATATTATATAGATACACTAGATATTTTAAGATAATTTTTGTACATTTTTCTTCGTAAATTATGTGTTGTTAATTAGGACTTAATAAAGACTTTTTTTTTAATTTTAATGTTGTTTGTATAATTTTAATCAACTAATAAGTTAAATTGTATGGTTTTTTATTCTCCTTTTTGTTACCTTTCTAATGATACACAACACTATTCTATAAGTTAGTTAAAGAATTTTTGAAGAAGATTTTTAAAATGTGCGATTTTTTTGACGCCTAGTGTATTTAAGTGCAATGAATATCAGGGGAGTGTTTCTTTCTGTTGATAAGGAATTTGTAGGCACCACGATGCCTTGGGTTCGGAGTATACACAAAAAAAATTAATATAATGGTATAACATCACAATATAGTTTTTTTTGTATTTCTTTTTGTTCAGTAATAAACTGTTCTAAAAAAGATAAACTTACTTATGAGAGCGGTGTTTATGTTTGTCAACTGCAGATATATGCTGTTTGGTTCTTGCAAGAGCCCTCTTTAGTGATTGAGTGCATAGCCAACATAGTAACTTTCCATCTACCTGTAAAAATAAATAAATGTTAGAAATCCAAATTGTTAGTTAAAATATAAAGTAACTAATTTTAATAAAAGCAAGGTTATTTTTTTTTAATATTACATTAATTTTTTGCTTCTCATAGTAAGATTGAAATTGCCCAATGAAAGTGCTTTTAATTGTGATGGGTAAGAATTGTGGCTAAACTGAGTGAATATTAATGAGCTGTGATATGTACCCACACTAAATACATATTTGTCGCTCTAGAACATTCTGTTAGAAATAATGTGGGAGAGAGTAAAATGTGATGCATGCAGGCATCTATAAACATTATAAATCACACAATTTGAATTATGCAAGTAAATTACTATAGCCTAAAATTGAATACATATAACTGTAAGTGGACTTTAATACATGTTTGATATACAACCTTTTTACTGTCATCATGACGGTCAAAAGCGCAGCGCTGCTTACATTGCTCACAAGTGACAGCTGGCCCATATTTTCTCTCAGAGTTTACACAACGCTGACATTTGTTTCCTAAAATGTTGTATAACAATTAATATGATAAGCCAACATCCCTTGAAATCATAACAGTGCATTGATATATGCATTTAATATGGATTAATGAAAGCACTATTGAATTTGTGATTTTAGACAATGATGATGGTACAACAGTTGGTCCCGGCAGCATCTGTGGTTGTTAGCACCCACCAATCTGCACTGGACCTGCATGGTTATGGTACATACCTTACCTATACAATTTTTGCAGCATTAAGTTATCAATTCAATTAAAAAATAAAGTTAATTTACCCAATCATTAATTGTAAAATGGACTTGACATAGATTAAACAGTCATTAGTGAACTAGTGATTCAAGTTGGGTATTGAAGAAATAGAACCCTTAACATAGTATTTACATATTTTAATAATATGAATACAAAAAATGACGGATCAAGTTTGCTACATACAATTTGTGTATGCAGTTTAGGCAAACATTCATTTACAATTAAATCAGTATCAGACACATCTTTAATAATGACAGTAGTCAAAGTTTGAGGTAAAGCGGATGGGTAGTCATGTTGAAACAGCATCATTTAAAAAAAATTGAGGTGAAGGTTTTAGTAACTTACCAATGAAAGCAGCAATGATGTTACAATATTCACAGGCAGTTGGTTTTCCGTAAGCTTTCACATTAGCTTCACATTTCTTGCAAATTGAAGAAGTGTTAGATTTGCTGAAAATTTTATAAGACAAAATATGGCACTTATTAATGAATGAGGCATACGCTTAGACTACTTATGTGTGTTTTGTTCATATCACACAAATGCCATTTGTCATTAAATAAACGGAGACAAACATGGAGTAACTAATCCAAGCTTATTCGTTGTTTATGATTAAGGGGTACTGTGTTTATTAATTTTATGTGTTAGTAAGTCATGGAGGTACTGTTAATTAAAAATAAATACAGTGGATTTCAGGTATTACGAAGATGAAAGGACGACTCTATTTTCGTGTTTATATCTGGAAGCTGTTGCAGGCAAAAGCAAAGAGATACACACATGTTTAGATGTATAGTTTATATTCATTTATAAATGATTTCTGCCTTTTCTTTTACAGAGAATGTGCGTCTAGCAGCGATACTTATTCAAAAGTTGCTAAAAAGCTAAAAAATAAATAACGTAATAAATGAAATCCACTGTATTGAATCCAAACTAAACCTTTAGGTTTAAAAGAGAAAAAGGTATTCTTGCCAAACTATCAAAATGAAATTAAAATTGTGACACGTGAAAAATATGACCTAAATATAACTCATTGATGGAAAATAATGCCTTGGCAACTAGCACTGACCTTGTTTGTTGAAACTCTGAACGGCAATACGTGCACTTGACAATGGGGAAGGAACCACGACATTCCTGAAATAATACAAATTGTATGCGTCATTGATTAATGACGTCAAAATAATAGAACAGCGTCTTAGTTAAATGTTTTTTTACATTTATCACAATTAATTTGTGTCATAAAACGTAACATGTTCAATCAAGGTATACCCATCATTATTTAATAGATTGAAATTTTATCCCACCTTACAGAGTTGTTCACCAGGAGACAATTCTTCGAAAGGGTGTCTGGAGAAACAACGCGAGCAAGCAAACAGAGGAGTAGATGTAGCGGAGCTCATATTTAGTTTTGAAAATAGAAACCAGCTTGAAACAATTTAACACCAAATTGAATTTAGCAAAACAATAAAATGGAAATAAAATCGAAAATGTATTCTAATGACGTAGGTACAAATGGAACAAACAAAACTGTTCTTTCCTTTCCTGTTCCTATCTACTGAAAAAACTGAAAGATGGCGTCGCGATACTTCCACTTCCACCAAAAGAATAGCCACACTATACTACATCAAACCAATAGCAATCAGCAAGCAAAACACAGATTACTTTATTGGCAAATCACAGAACTAGACGGTTGAAATAATAACCAATGAGAGGAGACGTTCGAGTCACAGATTACAGACAAAGCTATTCAGCGATTCACACTACCCAATTTTACAGTTTGTCTATAAAGTCGTGACGTGAATGTTTGAGGAACTAACATTATTCATGTGTCTGGCAACACCAAACTTATGTACATCAGCTGGGGCGGGAAAGTGAAAGCGGCTTTTTTAAAGTTATTATTTTATTTTAATTAGTTTTAACTATCTAAAACCTTAAAACGAGTTTTCATTTAGAAAAATGACTAGCGAAAGCGATGGGGACGATACTGGTGGCACACCCAGGTTCTCGGAACCCAAAAAACGGAGAAGACATGAATCGTATGACGATGGCGCCAAATATAAAACTTTTTCAAAACCAGGGTACAAACGGAGTTATCCTGATGTTCCAGACAACAGATTCACGGAATTTCCAGTTTATGTGGAGAGTATTCAAAAGGAAGACAAAATTGGTAATAAAAATCCATTACAACTATCGAAGTTTTTTAAGAATGTTAAAGGCATCTTTGAACGACGTAGAGTCAACGCGTCCAAAATAATGATAGTATTTAAGCAGGCGGCAGCTGCCAATGACTTTTTATGGCATGATTGTTTGGCTCAAAATGGCATGCGGGCATATATTCCTGCAGCTTCTGTGGAGAGGGTTGGGGTAGTGCGTTATATCCCGACAGAAGTGGGAAATCAAGAATTATATTCTAAACTTAACGCGGATGCTGAGATCATCTCAGTTAGACGCTTCATGAAGAAAACTGGATCAGATTTGGCTCCCCTAACAACAATCTCTGTAACTTTTTCAGGCACAATATTACCACAATTTATTTATCTAGATAATTGGAGATACAAGGTCCATGAATACGTTCCTCCAGTTATGCAGTGTTACCGATGTCTGAAGTTCAACCATTCAGCTAAGGTCTGTCGTAATGAACAGGTATGTTCCAAGTGCTCGGGTGATCACAGCTTCAGAGACTGTGATTCAGAAGTTCTGAAATGCAGTAACTGTGGTGGGGATCATCTGGCAGTTTCTAGGTCATGCCCAATAAAAATGGCCAAAGTAGATATCAAAAAGAAAAGTTTCACAAGTGTGTTAAAAAACTCGGCTGTTAACGATTTTCCTGCCCTTCCCCTCACTAATTTCTCAACCAAGAAGTTAGTTAATTCAAATAAAGATATAGATTCAATTTTAAGCAATGAAAAATTTATGAATTCCATTATTAAAACACTAGTGTCCTTGGGTAATACAAATACAATTAAAACAACAAAAAATATTAAAGAAGTTTTTATTAAACACTGGAAATCTTAAAAGAAACAGTCACAATGCAATTTTTAAAAATAGTTCAGCATAATATTCAAAGTTTAATAAGTAAAAAACCCTTGGTAAACAGTTTCCTACAAGATCATGACATTGATGTATTGCTGTTAAATGAGACTTGGTTAAAAAAGACATCTTCAATTAGATTTCCAGGCTACAATTTTATCTATAATAATGCCAAAAATGGTCGTGGTGGCGTAGGCATCTTATTAAAAGACACGTTAAAGTTCACCCAAATCTCTATTCCTTTTTATGAGGAGATCCAATGTATAGCTCTATGTCTTTTCACTGATAGGGGTCCCATCTCAATTTTATGCTCGTATTGCCCTCCTGGAAATGAAAGAAGATTTAATATTAATAAGTTAAAAAAAATAATGAATATTATTCCTAGACCATGCCTAGTTTCAGGAGATTTTAATGCGCATCATATTGCATTTGGCTGTCAAAGTACTAAAGCACGTGGTAGACAACTATATGATTTATTTGATGAAACTGATCTATGTATCTTGAACACAGGATTACACACAACTGTACAGGGTCCTAATAAAAATTCTTCAGCAATTGATGTTAGCTGTATAAGCTCTAGTCTTGCTCCTCTGTGTCAGTGGAGAGTGGGCGATGACCCACTAGGTAGCTTTCATTACCCAACATTCATAGACATAAATATTTCTCCATTGGTTTACCAAGTAGGTGATACAAATCAGAGGTATCTTTTTCACAAAGCAGATTGGACAAAGTTTTTCCTTAAATCTAAAGAATATTTTGAAAATTTTGAGTTGAACAAAGAAACCCCTTTAGAGTCCTATGACCACTTCTGTCAGTTAATAGATAAATTAAAGCAAGAATGCGTACCTATTTCCAAAAACAAAAATAGCAACCGTGTCAGACATAGCCCAGCCCCCTGGTGGAACAGTAAGTGTGCAGATGCTGTTAAAAACTCTAGGGATGCCCTGAAAATATACAGAAGTAACATGACATTAGATAATTACATAGCATTTAAAAAAATTGATGCCAAGAAAAAACTTATTATTAAGGAGGAAAAATGCAATAGCTGGCACAACTTATGTGAATCCTTTAATAGGTATACTCCTATTTCACAAATATGGAACTATATGAGACGATTTAAGAGAGCTGTAAATAGAGTTTATTCAAAAAATGATGATTGGATTCCACAGTTCATTGAAAAGTTTTCTGAACCAGAGAACGCAAATAGATCTGATAAAAGAAGTTTTCTTTTTAACAAAAATAGTTCTAACCCTGATACAGTCAATAGTTATTTATTAAAAGCATTTGACATAAATGAGCTTATTTTAGCCCTTAGATCTAGAAAAGATACAGCTCCAGGCCTAGATAATATCCCTTATGTAATATTAAAGAAATTACACATATCAGCAAAAACTGTACTATTAAATATTTTTAATTCACTATGGGAAAATCAGGTAGTTCCAGAATCATGGAAAACTCAGTGTATCATTCCAATATTAAAGCCAGACAAACCAACAGGTGATTACAACTCATACAGACCTATTTCATTGTCTTCTTGTGTGGGTAAGCTCTTTGAACAAATGCTCAAAGCAAGATTAGATCATTATATAGAATCAAATAGAATCTTACCTTATAATCAATTTGGCTTCCGTAAAGGACGTAGTTCTTCCGAGAGCTTTGTTAGCTATATATCTGACATGAAAAATTGCTTATATTCTCGATCCCAGGCAGTGTGCGTATTCCTTGATGTTCAGGGTGCATATGACAATGTTGATATAGATTGCCTGTGTCAAGTGTTGTATGATTTAAATTTTCCTGGAAAATTAATACAATGGATTTATAACTTTCTGAATGGTCGAACTCTATATGTAAAATATAATAATATTATTCATGGACCTAGTACATCCTATAAAGGATTAATGCAGGGGGCTAGTCTGTCTCCAATGCTGTATAATTTATATACGTCACAAATAATGACCTATATAAATCCTGAAGTTAAAGTCTTGCAATTTGCTGATGATCTTTTATTGTATAGTGTTAATAGAAATGTAGACTTAGCTGTACAAAAACTAAATTTATCATTAGAACAGTTATTGTATTACTATAGATATAAATTAAAACTTAATATTAATTCATCTAAAAGTGCTGTATTGGTAGTTGGCTCTGATAATTCAGTGCATATCAAATATAATAATTTACTGATTCCACAAACTAGTAGCCATAAATTTTTAGGTGTTATTGTAGATAGCAAACTAAAATTTGAGCAGCATATAAATTATATATCAAAAAATGCTTTGAAAGGTATTAACATCATTCGATGTTTAGCTGGAGTTTATTGGGGTGCTGATCCCAAAACATTGTCCACATTATACAAAAGCCTAGTAAGGAGTCATTTTGATTATAGCTGTCTTGCCTACTTCAATGCCAGTCCTAGTTTATTGAAAAAATTAGATGTCATCCAAAATATTGGGCTAAGAATCATTAGTGGTGCTATGAGATCAACTCCAATAAATGCATTAGAAGCCGAAACTTGTATTCATCCATTATCATTAAGAAGATTTCAGTTAGCACAAAATTTCTCAATTAAACAGCTGTCAGCTAACAATAGTCATATTGTTAATAATTTGATTCTCCCTTCAGAACTTGCAAATAACATAACAGAATCTATAGTTTCTACAAATAATCTTATTAGTAGTAAATTACCTGAAATGTGTACCATAATGACATATATCAGAGAAAAATGTGTACATATGTTTATAGCTAGTGATAATATTTGGCCTGTATATAAATGCAAATATAATGCTTTATACTTGCTAAAAGTTATAGTCCATTTACCTAATATTGAGAATAATAATGATTATTTACAATTTGTCAAAAACAGAAATGAATTTTATAAAATTTTCACAGATGGTTCAAAGGAGTGTCATAAAGATGTAGTTAGGTGTGGCTTCTATGACCCTCAGCTAAACTTTATTAAAGTATATGCATTGAATAACAAAGCCAGTGTATTTTCATCTGAGGCTTATGCTATTTATCAAGCTTTATGCTATATTTTAAAAGCAGACTCTTTTGTAAATAATGTACATAATTTTCTTGTCATATCTGATTCTAAAAGTGTGTTATTAGCATTAGAAAGTAATAGGCTAGATTCTAAGGTAAATCATATTATATATAAAATAAGAGACCTTTTATATGACTTGTATATACAGAAGAGAGAAGTGCAATTTTTATGGGTTCCCTCCCACAGAGGCATTGTTGGAAATGAGATTGTGGATAAAGCATTGATTGCAAATAACCCAGAGGATCACTCTACCTTTCCAATACCATACACAGATCACTTATCATCAGTGAAAGATGAAATTAAACATTTGTGGATTAACTATTGGAACCACTGGAACAATTACAAAGGGAAATGGTACGCAACAATACAGAAAAGTTTGCCAAACAAGCCATGGTATAATAATGCAATATGTGAGTCGAGAAAATTTATTACAACTATTAACAGGCTGCGCTTTGGACACTGTTTGGTTCCAACTCACTTGCATAGGCTTAAAATTTTGTCGAACGACAA